AACTGTATTATAAATAAAATTAGGAGAACTATATATTAACTTAAAACTTTTTGAAATGTTTCATATCGACTTAACTCAGTTCAAAATTTTCATTAACTAGCCCAGCCTTGCAGTTATTATTATACTAAATTATTTTTTACATATAGGTACTCTCATAACATATTATCTAACTCTAATTTATTGCAATAATTATTTATTTTTTTATACACAATATTTCAGGAATTAATAATAAAAATAATTGATTTGAACGATATTTATAAAATATTGAAATAAAAAAAAAACACTTGCTAATCAGTAATGGTAACTAGTCCCTGTGTATTGTACTATTATTAAAATAAAAATGAACCAGTATCAGAGTTCTAGTATATAACTGACTTGTCTTGCCTAGTGAAGTAATATGACTTTCGTAAGGTATAAAACTTATACGTTCTTGAATAAAATAGTTAAAACACAAATTAACATATAATAACTACGTATTATAGGTAAGATAAAAGCTAGATCTTAAAGAGATTATTTTAGCTATATAATATCTGTAATTTCTAATAACAAATAGCTCATACGTATATTGTTGAACATTTTACTATATAGGCTACGATTTTTTTTTTCAGAGATGATATTCGTCAGTGAAAATTTGCCAAATTTTGTATACAATGTCATATTACGCAGTGTGAAATGTGATGACGTGAGTGTTTCAAACACTTAGTTGTTTAGCAGAAAACATGTGGTATGTACTTTTTATTTTTCAGTAGATTTATTTAATATTGTTAAATGATCAGAGTTTGTATTGCCCCCAACTTTTCAATTTAATTGTGTTGTAACTACTGGTATAACGCTATTCCGGCTATCAATAAAATTATGATAAAAATTATGAGATTGATCAGGTATGAAATTTATTTTATTTTTTGTTCTAAATTTTTTTTTGTAATATTTAAATATTTTCACCGATTATCAGGTACGATGACCTGTAGGCACTATAGAGACTGTGTGTGTGAGGGAGAATGAGAGGTAGTGAGATGGAAAAAAGGGGGGATTAGAGAGAGATAGAGAGAAAGAGAGTTATGTGTGAAGGAGAAAGACTGAGAGAGAGAAGGGAGAGAGAGTGAGACTTGTAGGGATTGAGAATAGGAAGAGTGGAGGTAGAATAGTTAGGTTAACAATGTCGAATACTTAGGAAAGGTTCTTGAATTGCAAAGGCCACTAGACCAATCAGCTGAAAAACTACCTAGTGAAAGGTCGAAAACCTTGACTTATGGGATAGAATAAAAAGATTGGTAGAGGATGTCAGAGCACTGTTTGTTTGCTCTCTGTATCCCACGCACAACAAAGCAATTCATGTATCGGAACCAACCATATATTGTTACTTTAATAATGGTTGGTTCTGCTAAACGTAAATTTGCATTGTTGCGCGTGGGACATAAAAAGCAAACAAATGGTGCATAGACATCCTCTCAATAGTGTCATCAAGTTGAACAAAAAATTAAGAAAAGACGTCAGAAAAGACGTATTTCTATGTCAAACCATCGTTTTTGATCTCTTTTACCCTAGCGTCAGAACCAACACAATGTAGTATGTTGCTACTATTAATATTAAAAAAATATATATAAACTACAACATATTATAATTTATAATAATTCTAAAATATAAAATTAAAAATCAAGTCGAAAGTCTAAAGTTATCAAGTCGAAAATCTGTAGAATTTTGACAGTTGACATGAACTGTGATTGAAATATTAACACTTGTTGACAATGTTAACACTTGTTACTCGAACCAACCATGACCCCTACAAAAGATGCTGTTAGCCATAGTGCACGGTTTACTTACAATCAAATTGGCATATAAAATAATATGTAATATACAATTAATACAAAATAAAAAGAATGCAGTTGGGGCTTGGTGTGGCGCGGTGATTGGCTGAAGTCCCTAATGGGTGTCAATCATCAGCCGGCGTAGCTAGCATCCGGATGGGTGACCACCTTGGTGTTTAGAGACGAATCCTAGCTCCACGTACACACGTGTTACTTGGATCCAACCGTGACTCCTACAAAAGATACTGTTAGCCATAAAGTGCACGGTTAATAGAATCGCTAAAAATTACGATTATTTTAGCCAGTTATTGGCAGTGGAAGCGGAGATAGTTTGCCATCCAGATAATGCTCAAAGAATTTCAAAATAAAATTATTTCAATACGTTATTCAGTTGCTTCAAATCTAGACATCTTCCTAGAATTTCTACTAAACATATGAAGCTTAAATAATTTAAAAAAAGATATTGCTTTAAGAAAGACGTTTCACCTGAATGCGCGGTCTCCAAATGTTCAAATGCATCTTACAAGTGTGAAACATATCAAATTTTAGTTAAGCAGTTATCATTCATCTTCGTTGATTCCAAATAATAATTATTAATAATAATTAATTCCAAATAAAAACTCTAATATTAAAACTTTCATTGCTAAATGAGATCTGCTCACATTGATGAGCACTTGTAACACGGGGCCAACACATGCTCATAAAATATTAATACTAACTAGTTACTTCTTAAATGCACATCCAATCATACTTTCAAGTTGATGCACATATAAAAGTCTTTATCGCCTTCAGCATATGTTGTATGCTTCAAGTTGTTTCAAGTTGTAATAATTAAACAAAAAAAGTTCAACTTGGTAGGCGGACACAACAATAGAAAAATAAATAAGGATCTTTTTATTCTAAGGGTCCCACTTAACCCTCTGTAAGTCGCGCGCCAAACGGGGGTGATTAAACTAGCACCCCCCATACTGAAAAACTCGCGCGACTATGCTGTTAAAACAGAGGGTTAAATAAGTCATAAAAAGGTTAGTACACCTAAGGGCTATGGATAGTTGAAGCTGTGGTGATGATAGTACGCTAGCGGTAGTATACTATCATCCCGGTTCGAGTGCATTGCCATGATCTTTTCCTACTAACTACCAAGGTATTCGATATTGTATAAGCATAACAATCAAAGAAAATATTTAAATATTACCAAGATAAATTAGAACATAATGAAGTATCATAATTTGTATCCACAATTTTAAAGCCAGTCGGCTAGCGTTGTACCAGTACTTATAATTAATAATAATTTAAATGCAGTCAACACTAATTAGAGATTTATCTATCACAAAAATGAGGAGTTATTGTGAGGTTTTCTGTAATTATTTATTCATTAGTTTTTATATAATATGGTTTAGTGTATTAAAATAATATTGTCTTAGCATTCCAAATATGTTTTTTTCTCACTTCATTCCACATTAAACTTAATCTACTTTTTCCAACAATTTTTCCAAGGCCAAAACAAAAATGTAAATATGATTATATAATAATTTTTTGTATACTTCTTCAAAATGTATACTAGTTACAGTTTGAAACACAATATCATTTTAATTAAAACATTAAACTATTTAAGGCAAAAATAACTTTAACGTAAAAATATAGCCCTTGGGCACTTTTCACTTTAATTTTTTGTATCCATAATAACTTTCATTCAATTAACACACTATTTTATTGTACTAAGGGAAACTCTCATCATATTTTTTCACATTTTTTACTGATATTGTGGACTGCAGCTTTTAATATTTGTTTTTAATGCACACTTTTTCATACATTTTTTATTTTGATTCTTAAAAATCATTTGCCTGCGGGTGGCCATGATCCCCTTCCCATTTTTATTTTTAAATTTAAATTCTATCAAATTTTTTTATAATTTTTTTTATTTTGATTCTTAAAATTCATTTGCCTGCGGGCGCCCATACCCCCCTTCCCATTTTTATTTTTAAAATTAAATCCTATCAACATTTTTTATAATTTTTTTTATTTTGATTCTTAAAAATCATTGAAGAACATGTTTTAAAATTTTGATAACTAGTTAGTGCCTTATAAATAATCATTGTTTCATGATCTAATTATTGTAAATGAAGCTGTGAGTTTAGGAATACTGATATTGTATAGACTGCAGTCTTTAATATTTGTTTTTAATGTACATAATTTTATACATTTTTGTTTTTGATTCTTAAAATTTATTTGCCTGCGGGCGCCCGTGATCCCCTTCAATTTTTTTTTTCTGTAATTCAACTGTAGTTCAAATTTTTTAAAACATTTTTTAAACTTCGATAACAAGTTAGAGCCTTATAAAAATTCATTATTTCATGATCTAATTATTGAAAATAAAGCTATAAGTTTAGGAATACTGATATTGTAGACTGTAGTCTTTAATATTTGTTTTTAGTGTATATAATTGTATACATTTTTTTTTTGATTTTTAAAACTCATTTGCCTTTGGGCGCCCATGTCCCCTTTTCCCATTTTTATTTTTAAAATTGATTCTATTTCATATTTTTTTTTTAATTTGATTCTTAAAATTCATTTGCCTGCGGGCACCCATGCCCCTCTTCAATTTTTTTTCCACAATTTAACTCTAGTGCAATTATTTAAAAACATGTTTTTGAATTTTGACAAATATATAGTGCCTTAAAAGTATTCATTGTTTCATGATCGAATTATTGTAAATGAATGATTTTAGGAATTCTGATATTGTATAGACTGCAATGTGATCAATTTTCTTTTATATAGTCGAATGTTGAGTCTGAATAAAATGAAATAATGTAACCTTTTACTTAACATTATAAGTTTTGATAAATAGGTAATTTACATTTTTTGATCAGTGGCGCAACTGGGATTTATTTTTGAGGGGGGAGGGGGTTATTTATTTTATTTCATATATACAAGAATACTGGGCCCCTCTGAGATGACTCGTGTGGGGGCCCAGGAAAATATATAATATAGAGTAATGAGATCTATGAATCTATGATACATCTTAAGCACTTGATATTTGACTTTTAAAAAGCTGTGCGTCACTGTTTTTGATGTATTTTTGTAATGTATTAGGTATTTGTGTGGTATTTAAAATTAATTTAACACACAAGATATTAGATGGGTCAACTGTCATAGGCAGGTATGAAATTAACATTGTACTTACGCTTAAATGTTTTTTCTTATATTAGAGTTTGAACGTGAATCCACCTTGTAACACTTTGTATCGACACGACTTGAGCACTTCAATTTCAGCTTCTTGTAAAAAAAATTATCCTCAATGACTCTTAATACTTAAAAATATTTTTGATAATTTGGCCAGGGTAAAATTGGTTCTTCTAAATCTGCAACCTGATCGACTTCGGTTGAAGAATCACAATCACTAATTGTATTACAATTTAAAACAATTTAAACAATGAAAACAAGAGTATAGTACGGTTGATGCAATACAATTATTAACAATCTGTAGGAACGTCAAGCAGACAACAGCGAACACGATAAGAATATAAATACGAACCCAAGTAGTAAGTAATAAATATTACAATACTGTAAAACAGCGTAGGGGGCTATACATGCAATATTGTAATACGGTGGATGACAGTTGTCCGAAAAATGATAAGAGTGGTTGTTCTCTGGACTATAACTGGGGTTACACTGTGACCAACTTGAGGTGGGGTTGCACAGCAAGTCGAGGGATAGTTTCGATTTGCGGAGCGGAGCGACGGCGCCGAGGAGCGTAGCGACGAGTGCCGCTAACAAGGCATCACTGTAAATTATTTCTTATTAGTGGGGTCACTGCTGGATCTCTGGTATATGCTGGTACGAGCAAAGAAAAAGTTCTGAACTCTAAGGTCTTCTCAATATCGCACACCGCGGTTTACAATTTTTAGTTTTTTAGTTTTTACTCATCAGTTATCATGTAGATGCAGTTATCTCTATACGAAAAATGCAAATATGTCGAGTAATTTAATATAATCATAGTCTCATAGAACAATATAATATCGGCATAGTTTATGTTCGAAGTAATCGATATCGGAGCAGTATTATGATGGACAATGAAAATTTTTTTGGGAGTAACACAATGTCGTAGCAGTATATAATCGAAGAAATGGTGACAATTTGGTGCTATCCCAATTCCCAGTCACCACATTGCAGGCCATCACGATTTAATTTCCACAAATTGTATTTTATAGTTATTAGTCATTGTAGATAGAACTAATAGAAGGAAAAACAATGGTTATAGTCAACAAAATATTATTGACTGTTTTATCGCTATTTTTACTTATCGTATTATATTTTTAATTTGACCGTCCAGTATCAACGACTTGTAGCAGTCGTCAACATCAACATGTAGACTTAAAAAAAGAAATAAAACAAATCAATGTTAGGGGAGTAAAAATTGTATCTTATATTACTATCACGACTGCCGACTGGGAAATGGAAACTGCATCAAATAAAAATTATGTTCCGGAAATTGATCTTTACCCAATCGAAATTTTTGTTGCAAGGTGGTTTGCACGAAAGACAACAACAAGATTTGCGGTGGACTGTCAGACCAGGACGCCGTACGGCGACATGTTCTCGTTAGGCCGCAACGACCTGCTTTTCAGCCAGCAATACTGTGGACAGAGCAAGATGATACGATCAACGGCGGAAACTATGACATCCAGCAACAGGCATACTAGCAAGATCAGGTAAAGCAATAAGTACCTAATAACGCGTTCGAACACGGAACACTTTTGCATTTTTGCTGCCGGCACTTATCATTAAGACCCTTCAAGCTGCGCTGCGGCGTAGAAACTTCAATGAACGGCGCTATTCCTCCTATAGCAGGGGTCACCAATTAATACTTTCCGTGGGCCACATTAAGAATTCGGAAAATTCCCGGGGGCCATAAAAATGCAAAGCATGCACATAATATTTATTGTAATATGCCGATTGGCCAAAACTAATGTACAAAGATAAGATATTATCGGCATTTTTTCTCCTTGTCTGCGGGCCGGTTACAATTCATCAACGGGCCGGATGTGGCCCGCGTGCCGCCATTTGGTGATCCCTGTCCTATAGCGAGCCACCGAGTTCACCGGTAATCTTGACGTCGGCCCGGTTGTTTAATTGCGCTAGCCCCGGTGAAAATCTCGTGTGATCGCGAGACTTATGTTTTTGTCGTTGCTGCAATCAGCCGGCATCATCAGAATCATAAGCAAGAAATCGATTTTTTGTTTTCCGTCTTAGAATGACCGCACACTGGTAAAGCAAAATTGACTGAAGAAATGTGAGTCATATTTAGTCAGTTTGCTTTAGTCATAATACAGCATTGTTGTCGCACACTAGATAAAACATAGTTAGTCAAATCAAAGTATATCAAGTAGTCGTCAAAATGTCGTCCGACGAGGAGGACAATGCTATTCCTATTTTATGGTTTCTTTTAAGATAAATTGAACAGGAAGAAAATAAAAAAAAACTTTGGGTTCATCCTTTGAACTTGAAACGAACTGAAAATAATACAATTAAATGTTTTATTCATGAACTTCGAAATGACGAATGTAAATTTAGAAATTTTACACGAATGAGTACGGACACGTTTGATCATATTCTAGAAATACTTAACAATGAAATTCGAAAACTTGATACTAATTTCAGAAAATGTATCACTCCGGAAGAGAAATTATTGGTGACATTGAGGTAAGTCAATAATAAATTCTAAATAATTGGATATTAGAGCGAAGCATAGCGAAATAATGTATTAATTTTACAATGATGTGCTTTTTACTTTTTTTTTTATTAATTTTTTTATTTTTACAAGACATTTACAATCTATTCATAGAAAAAAAGGTAAAATTGAAAAGAGTAATAAGCATGAAAAATATGATGGAAGCAGCCACCCATTGATGAACTCTACCTATTCTGTTTCAGTTAAGTAAGGGCATTTTCTAAAATGCATGCATTTAGCAGGTCACGACACCAGTTACGTTTAAGACGTCTAGCGGGATTGCCCGGAATCGAAGAGATTGCTAGATTTGATAGAATTTAAATTTAAAGATAAAAATGGGAAGAGGGCATGGCCGCCCGTAGGAAAATGAATTTTAAAGATCAAATTAAAAAAAATGTATGAAAAAATGTACATTAAAAACAAATATTAAAGACTGCAGTCTACAATATCAGTATTCCTAAACTCTTAGCTTCATTTACGATAATTACACCACGAAACAATGCATTTTATTAAGGCACTCACTTGTTATCAAAGTTTAAAAAATGTTTTTAAAAATTTGAACTACAGTTGAATTACAGAAAAAAAATTTGAAGGGGATCATGGGCGCCCGCAGGCAAATGAATTTTAAGAATCAAAATAAAAAAAATTATAAAAAATATTGTAGACTTTAAATTTCAAAATAAAAATGGGAAGGGGGCATGGGCGCCCGTAGGCCAATGTATTTTAAAAATCAAAATAAAAAAAAATATAAAAATATATGAAAGAATATTGATTTAAAAAAAAAATGGGCAGGGGCGCATGTGGGCAAATTTATTTTTAAATATCAAAATAAAAAAATTATAAAAAATGTTAAAAATAAAAATGGGAAGGGGGGTATGGGCGCCCGCAGGCAAATGAATTTTAAGAATCAAAATAAAAAAAATTATGAAAAATGTTGATAGGATTTAATTTTAATAATAAAAATGAGAAGGGGGGCATTGCGCCCGCAGACAAATGAGTTTTAAGAATCAAAAAAAAAAAAAATATGAAAAAATATGAAATAGAATCAATTTTAAAAATAAAAACGGGAAGGGGGGTATGGGCGCCCGCAGGCAAATGAGTTTTAAAAATTAAAAAAAAAAAATGTATAAAATTATGTGCATTAAAAACAAATATTAAAGACCGCAGTCTACAATATTAGTATTCCTAAACTCATGGTTTCATTTACAACTATTCCATCATGAAACAATGAATTTTTATATGGTACCAACTTGTTATCAAAATTTAAAAAATTGAACTAGAGTTCAATTATAGAAAAAAAATTTGAAGAAGACTATTGGCGCCCGCAGGCAAATGAGTTTTAAGAATCAAAAAAAAAAAATATGAAGAAATCTGAAAAAAAAAACCAATTTTAAAAATAAAAATGGTTAGGGGGCATGGGCGCCCGCAGGCAAATGAATTTTAAGAATAAAAAAAAAAAAAAAAAATGAAAAAATGTGAAAAATGTGATCAGAGTTCTATCGACTTTACCTCAGGACAATAAAATAATGTGTTCATTGAATGAAAGTTAGTGTGGATACAAAAAATTAAAGTGAAAAGTGCCCAACGGCTATTTTACGTTAAAGTTATTTTTGACTTAAATAGTTTAATGTTTTAATTAAAATGATATTGTGTTTCAAACTGTAACTAGTATACATTTTGAAGAAGTATACAAAAAATTATTATATAATCATATTTACATTTTTGTTTTGGCCTTGGAAAAATTGTTGGAAAAAGTAGATTAAGTTTAATGTGGAATGAAGTGAGAAAAAAACATATTTGGAATGCTAAGACAATATTATTTTAATACACTAAACCATATTTTAAGTCAAAACTAATGAATAAATAAATACTGAAAAATTCACAATAACTCCTTATACCGTCAACTCTCATTATTTCTTAATTAACATTTTGTTATATTTTTTGATACATTAGAATTTTTAAATAAGTTTTTATAATTTTTTGTGATAGACAAACCACTAATTAGTGTTGACTGTATTTAAATTATTATTAATTTTAAGTACTGGTACAACGCTAGCCGACTGGCTTTAAAACTGTATATTCAAATTTTGATAATTAATTAGGTTCTAATTTATCTTGGTAATATTTAAATATTTTCTTTGATTGTTATGCTTATACAATATCGAATACCTTTGTAGTTAGTAGGAAAAGATCATTGCGATGTACTCGACCAGGGATGATAATATACTACCACTAGTCTACTATCATCACCACAGCTTCAACTATCCATAGCCCTTAGGTGTACTAACCTTTTTATGACATATTTAACCCTCTGTCTTAACAGCATAGTCGCGCGAGTTGGACAGTGTGGGGGGAGGGGGGTGCTAGTTTAATCACCCCCGTTTGGCGCGCGACTAACAGAGAGTTAAGTGGGACCCTTAGAATAAAAAGATCCTTATTTGGTTTTCTATTTTTGTGTCCGCTTATCAAGTTGAACTTTTTTTTTATTTTATGATTCTTAAAATGCATTTGCCGGCGAGCGCCCATGCTCCCTTTAACATTTTTTAAATTTATATCTTATTTAAGTTGATTTCTTGTTATTTACATTTTATGAACTTTGGAATATAGTAAGTGGTTTCAAAAAAAAAAATTGTTTATTGAACTAATTGTTTTGAGTATGATTTTCGGTCAATGAATTTGAATATTAAGTTGAACTTTTTTTGTTTAATTATTACAACTTCAAACAACTTGAAGCACACAATATATGCGAATAGCGATAAAGA